ATTCCCCCGGTGGATCCTAGCCTAAACCCCGGATTCTCGTCATCTATTAGCTGTTTCTCTCATTTGTAATCCCCCTCCATATATTTTCATGCCCAAAATCGGAAACGATCGGTACTCATTTCGGTCTATTTCTTTCTTACTTTCTTTCTTTCTTTCTTTCTTTCTTCGCGCCAGCTTGAAGAATATTCCGGGCCATCATTCCGTCTTAGCTCAACAAAATAAAAATGCGATTCTCATTAAAAAAAAACTTTTCCATACCTGCAATCAACCCTCTGAGCCCACCCAACTACTCCTTCTCATTCGTGCCCAACGCCAATAATCCACACGTGGTAAGGTCCGTGCTATATGCATGTACGGGCAGGTGCATGGGTGGATGAATTATTTTTTGCCCCTCATTCAGATGTTAAAGTCTGAAGATGAGCAATTTTTGGTCCATCATCTATTTGCCCCTCATTTGTACTACCAGTCACAATATCCAAAGTGTAATGTACATGAAGTGCTGTATATTACTGGATAGGCAAATATACAACAGAGTAGCATTCTCATATTATATTCTGATTTAATGTTATGTGTTTGCGTAACCTAGTCTTTGGCTTTTCTCTCGATTTGATGGTCGCCTAGCTCCTCCATGCGTTGCTCCATAGAGTTCATGCACTGCTGGGATCGATGTGAAGGGACCCACAATCAAGCATGATCGTCTTTCGATCCCAGCTCTTAATTCAACTTTGATTTGTGCTTCGTTGGAGATGATTGCGCATCAAATTTTAGATACATATGCATGCGATAAACGAAATATACCGCATACCAAACACAAGCATGATTCCTGAGAGAAAGATTTGAGTATCGAATTTCATCTTAGACATTGAAAATTGTTATCAGATTTTGATGCCTAAGAGATGGTGTTTCTTGATCATTCAATCAATCTACAATGCAACATCAAAGAATATTACAAGATTTATTAAATACTCAACAAGAAACCCCGGCATTGCGAAATAATTCCTTTCGTCCGTGGCGTGATCAACATGGCGCGATATCACATACATCCAAAGAAAAAAAAGAGTTAGGACAAGCGACTATGTATGCAATGCAATACAAAATAAAATAGGAATTGGAATTGAATAGGGGAAGAAAAAGAGAATTAGCCCTACCCGTTTTTCTGCAGCTTCCCTTCCCACGGCACGGAAACTCCTAGTGAATACTACCCTACATAGAGAAAAAGTTACCAATTTCTTTTTCTTTTTCTTTTCTATTCCGCGCCAATTATATCATCGACTATTCTACTGTGGATTTTTTTCTAGGCTAGATGAAGAATTGGAATTGCTGATTTGGGCGGTTTACCCGCCTTTTTGTGCCGTTTTTGCTTTTCTTCTTTTTTTTTTTTCTTTGGTTCTTTTCCGCTTTTTGTGTTGATGTGGGTGGAGATGATGAAATTTTTCTTTGGTTGGGAAGGGGGGGACTTTCCGGCCTGTCTGTGTGTCTGTTTTTGGAAAGTATGGGAGTAGGGGAATGTAGGAATATAGTAATTCTATATCTAGTGTTTTGCATGTGAATGGAATGTATGTATGTATGTATGTATAAGGAGTAGAGAATTGAGATTATGGAATTGAATTGGGAGGGGAAGGGAAGGGTAGGGAAGGGATATGAATGTGGATTTACCTCTACCTACTAGGTAGTAGGAACTAGGAATTAGTTTGGCACATGGTAAAAACTTAAAGGGGGTTTGTGGTGATCGAAGCGCGTACAATGTAAGTTGTGATTTATATGGGGATGGATGGATGTATGTATCGATTGGGTGCGAATCGAATGCGAGGAAGGTGGTTTGTTATTTTTGTTTTTTGTTTTGGGGTTTGAGGTTTGGGGTTTGAGGGTTTGGACTTTTGGTGCTGGATGGATGGATGAATTGGATGAATCGATGAATTTGGTAATTGTGCACGAGGGCACTTTTTCTTTTGTTGGCGCTTGTGGTGGAATATTTTATAGATTGATTAAGTGATTAAGTGATGTATATTAAAATACTCGAGTGTTCTATTTTTAATTATATTGAGGTGTGATAGTATTATTAAATGTTTTTCAAATGAGATTATTAAGGTAATTGTTTAAAAGATTGTTTTATGATCTATTTATATATTTTTTATATTGAGATGATATTTGTTTATTAATTATGATATTAAAGATTTCTTAAATATATATAATTGAACCAGTGTAAATATCTCTAGATGAAAAACCCAGTCATTTTGATATAAAATAGATAATTAAAGAGTTATATTCTATAGATGCTAGAGAGATATCTTAAATAATTAAAGATTATAAACGAAGTGAAATTAATCTATCAATCAGGATCTGAAAAACCACAAACCCATATCCAAACAAATAAATAACCAACGTACAAAAAACTCCTCTTAATCATACAATAAAAAGACGAAATTTCGTCTTTATATCTACAGCCATATTGCTTATGATTACACTTCCACAAAAAGCACTCTTTTGGATAAACCTAGACTAAAACATACTCTTCCTTTTCCTCTTCCTTAATCATCTTTCTCTATCTGCAACTTTCCCATTGTATTTTCTCCGCCCAGAATCTCACGTACAAACCCCATCTCTCATTTTTCCTTTCCCATTCTCTTTCCGGTTCCCCATCCCGTTCTCCCTCATCCCACAACGAAATGGCTATTTCAACTCCAGCATCCAAATCAAAGTCACGCCAATTATCACCCGCTACCATATCTCCACTTAAATCTTCTGCACCATCTAAATGCTCCAAGTAGGAAGAATCTAGATCTTCCCTCTCCTCTTCATTTTCTTTCAAGTTTTTTATATGCTATCTCTTGGTCGTAGACTGGTTCGCTCATGTGAGCATTTATGAGGATTTGGGGGATTTCTTTTGCCTCGGCGTGTAGTTTGTAGTAGTGTATTTCATTACCTTGGAAAGGGGTGGAGAAGTGGATGTGTTAGAGGGTGCCATGTTTTGGCTGGTGAGGTGGGATAGTTGACTGTGGGTGTGGAGAGTTGGTTGGCTGGTTTTGGGTAGGGTGTTGGTTCTTGGGAGGTTAGTATGGTCAGTTAGTTGGGAGTTTTGGCTCTCAGGGAGATATTGTTTTGGTTTTAGGTCAAGAATCGGGGAGGTCTGATTGTATAATATGAGGTGTAGTATCAAGGAGTACTGAATATATGGTTCTCAGGTAAGACACTGAGAGAAACTAATTATAAGATATGAGTTGGGATACTGTGGATACCAAAATACTCTGAAATTAACTTAACCCTCCTTTGAGCGAAAACTTGAACGACGCTTAAACATATTTTCCTTGCCTAAGGACTTGGAGATCTGTTCTTCTCTGATTATCATAAAAAGTGCACCGCAGGATCACTGAATGTGTTGTTTGATAAATTATTTTGATTAAATTGTCATTGTGTTGGGATATATATACTAAATGCTAAGCGATGTACTAATAATGATGAGTGTCTAGCATCTCAAACAAATATCTAAAAAAAATCCATCATCCGTCTGTCCTCTTCCCCCCCACAGTTCCTTTAAACCTCTTCGACCATTATCTCCTCCAAGTTTCAACAGTTTCCATTTCCAGTCCCTTGATTCTTATTCTTCCCCATGCCAACTGTCCACACCACCCAGAACCCTCTTCAAAGTTCAATTATCCACCATTATATCCTCCAAATCCCATCACTTCTTATCCGCAATATCCACCTCATCTACTCCATCCACGCACTCTTGTTGTGATTGCGATGGTGGGGAGTCTTGAATTTGAATTTGAACATCCTCACTCCCCACATCCGTGATATCCAAACTATCTTTCCTCTCCTGCATCTCCTTCACAGCAACCGAGTGAGTTTTTTCACTTTCTTCCGGCTTTCCAACATCCTCCTTCGAATTTTTATTCGTAGACAACTTGTATCTTCTATTATTTCGAACACAACACCATTTCCAGGATGATATACCAGTAACTACAACAAATACGAGAATAAGTGCAAGAGTCATATTGTGACTGCTTGTGTCAACTGTATCCGTATGTATTTTCGATGTGAGATTTGGTTGTGTACCAGTGGTTGTGTTATAGAGAGATTTGGTGAGATTGAGGTGTGGTATATGCTCGGCTGATTCATGAAACATTGGTGCCATTTTGATTGATTGTGAAGTCTGGTGGTGTATGCGTGGTTTAAATGAGGATAAATCGGTGAGATTGATGAACTTGGTTCGAGGTTCGAGAGGTCAGATTGTTGTAGAAATTTGAGATTCGTTGTTCATAGCTAAGGAAGATTACGAATTTGATTGATGTATATATGACGTCGCTCGAATGATGAATATGGAGAGGTACGATCTGGTATGATAGTTTGGAAATATATCAAATTTAGATGTTTGTATATATGATGAAGATCTGAAGATGCAGAAAGGAGAGAGAAATGGAAGAGCTTGAAAGACTGAAGGGTATATATACAAATTCTTTCGTGAAATTACGTTCTATTTTAGTTTGAAAGAGCTAAGAGATGTGTCTAGAGAGGCTTTAAGTTCTAGCGATTTTCAAGCCCTACCTTTAGTCCCAACAAAGGTGACTTAGAGTTTAAGTTTAAACTCAGGCAAAACGAGAATCTAGAGCATGGCATCAGTCATGAATCTAAAGTTATAAGTGAGTGATGAGCAAGCTTGTTTAAAAATATCAGATTTGGATCGTAAGGAAACAAAAGAAAAGCTTAGACATCTCGGATAATAACGATGTGTTACGCATTCAAGGCATCTATAAGCCAGAGGCTCTATCATCCGTGACTTTTAAGGGCGATATTTGGTGAAAGGGTTAACAGAAAGTTGTATGTTTGCGGATGAAGACTACGCCAATCTTCCAGACCGCAGATCTAGAATAAAAGGCCTTTGAGTGCTATGTTACTTTTGACATACTGAAATAATTATGGATATGGGTGTGAATATTGGAATTATCTTGATATTCAATTCATTTCAAACAAGCACTTTATTAAGACGATTGAAGCATTTTCTTAAATTCAAAGTTCTTATTGCTGCTGGGACTTTTGCACACGCTACTGGATATAAAACTTTTAGTCGCTACTAAAGGCTGCACAACGACCCAAACCAAATCTCCCAAGCATTTTTCACTTATGGTATGTCCTCATTCTTCCACTCAGCAATTTTTCCCTCATCTCGTGCAATTCCCTCCATCATATCTAGCGCTAATCCAAGTACATCACCATCTGTGAATTCCAACTTTAACCTATCCCTCAACTCATCGATTGCGGCGGCACCATTCTCTATCATATGTAGTTGGCGAAAACTGCAAATTGCGGCGTATAGTTGACAGAATGATATAATTCCGATGAAGAGTAATGTCAACAATTTGAATAAGTGTCGTTTATCGTATAGTGCATTGTATTCTTCTTCTTCGATGGTTGTGGAGCTGAACGTAAGGGGCCTGAATGTGGAACTGAGGAGCAACAGAGGAGCTTGAATTGCTTCCTATTATCAACGCATATTAGTCACATTTGGTAAGAAATGAAGAATATTTAGAGTGGTATAAAGTTTCTTATAAATGAAAACATTAAACGCAATGCAACGCACCGGGATTTAAAAGAACACATACCATCTTGAATCGAGAGCTATTGTTCTTCCCTAAATGCCAAGTGAATGTTTATGATTATGGATATAAAGCGCTATGTCGCCTATCTGGCGTATATATGTATATTGATGTATGCGTGCCGGCGAATGTGGAAATGTAAGACAGCATCAGAAAATAGATAATGAAGAAAAGTCCCTTGGAGAATTTGTCGGAAGCTGCTTCCCTAATTCAGATCACTGAAAGCTTAATTCTAATTCTGTCGTACCATTAATCCTTATCTCAGGGTAAGCACGTCCTCAATCTACGCAGCTTCTTTCGGTAATTAGCCTTACTTTATCCCCCTATCTAGTTCGCTAGTTAACTCGCTAGAACATTCAGTGCTACTTAGTCAATGCGCTAAGCCTAGCAACGGTAATTGAATGACCTCTTCAGCTTCATGAAATTTTCGGAAGTCACGCGATAAGAAGGTATTGAAGCTAGGATTTATAGGGAATGGTGAACATAATACACATATCTCGCACGTGGAATCTATGGTGAGTAGTACAAGAGTGATAAAATTCATTTTGAGTGTATGGGAGTAATTTACCGCAATACATAAGGTTGGTAGAAAATATCCAGTACGGACTAATGAGATTTTGACAATTTAGAACGATGGCTCGCAGCTCGGGCTTGAAGCCCTTATTGAATTATATACGCAAAATTTTCTATCTAAAAAGGATCACGCCTGTGTAATCTCTGACTTACGATGTTTGATCTCTGAGTTTGGCGTGGATTTTAACCATTTTCTTCAGAAGTTCGGAGACAGCATACACTGCCATTTTTCTAAGCTACTTTTTTTTGGAAGTTGCTTTGTACCCCGACTAAGCCTATTTTCACAGTGTTGAGAAGGTTTTTTAGTTCTGCAGCGGAATTGCACCTATATGGCTTTCGGAGTGGGGAATCAGTCCCAGTGATTAGTCGTTCATCACGAGTCTTTTTCTTGGTCTTTTTCTTGGGCTTTTGGATGAGTCATGAGCCATGATTGCCTATATCCTCGGTCGTGGCTAATCTCTTGACTTCACTGATTCATGGGGACAATTTCTCCGAGTCACTGTACAAAGCTTCCGATAAAAAGCTCATGAACTTTCCTTTCGTGTATGCTACTGGAGCCGAGCCATGTTCTTAGCCAACGGGCCGAGCTTGCCCAAGGTACCTAGTGTGACACATATACATTTACTAATTTATTGGCCACTTCTGTCGTTCACTGTGAATTAGAGGTAGTCTTGGATAAAGATTTTCATCTTGTTTGTGACGAAACTATTCTTCCCAAGTTTTTAAAGTTTCCGCGCCTGACGGAAAATTTTGATCAAAAATATTGTCTTGTCTCAATAATTATCCCTCCGACAAGAATGATCATCCGTTTTAGGCCATTCACACCACCCTCAAACGAGGACGCGTTGATCTCTTTATTTTTTCAGTAGCCCAAGTTCTCGAGTCTTGATTCATGGCTTAAATATCGCATCCTACGATCCAGTCAATAAATCAAGTTTGATCTATAAAATGCGTGCGTAGCTCATTCAAGATCTGGATTAACTTCGATCCTGTATCCAAACATCCCGATTTCATAAGCTCGAAAGAATTTTCAGAATCACCCCGCTTCAGAGGAGAGTGGGGGATATAATAGATCATGGGTAAAGAGAAATCTGCGAGGGCATGATGGATTCTTCCATCACATAAAAGCCATCATAATCCTCGTTTTCGAGAGGATAATGCGGGAAATACTGAAGTTACGATCAGCAAACTCATTGTGGTGCGAGTTTCAAGAATCATAATACTTTAAGAACAGAATCGTCTAACGTTTAACTGATGTATTAGTAACACCATCCTAGGTTGTTCAAATATTGCGGCAGGTAATGACGACGACTGTCTATCACGTGTTCTAATTCGCGTTCATTCACCCCCACACATGGGTCAGCAATCTGCATCCGCGAACTTTTCACAGCACTCTATAACCAGCCGAACACCAACAAACTTCAGTCTGATTTCAGTGTATAAGGATCACTTCCAATCAATCGGTGTGCTATCCATCGGAAAAGCCCCCGAAGGTGATTAGATATCCCTTTCTCGCGTTCTTTGTCGTGCATAATTAGTGCGACAAAAATGTCAGCATGGTAATACCAACATGCAGCCACATCTACGAACAAGCATGTATTAGATCTTACTTTTCACTATCGACAAAAGCCACAAAAGTCGCTTGGGACTCGGATCGGACCTATAACAGCTTGGGATGGTTTTATAGTGGTAATAAACATTTGTAGAGGCGGTCGATAAGGCTGCTGAATTACCTGGAAAAGACTGGCGGTCGACGAAACAAGAAAGTCGAGGTAATGGATTTGTAGATCAGAGTCAGGGATGCCATCCAGGGGAAGATTGAGCTGTGAGGTCCAATAGACCAATAATTTTGAATTCTAGGTGCGTCAAAGGTTCGGCTTGGCTAACGTGATAGCCACTCAAGACGTCGTCACAATTTTAGAACATTTCAGATAACTCATAAAAATTTCTGAACACAAAGGCTTAGATGCGCATTTCTTCTTCGATATTACAGGAAAAGTCCACGCTATATTAGCTATATCAGCTATATCACTATCACTATCACACAAGTTTTAATCTCCGAAGTATAATCTTCCCGTTCTATCAAGAGACAATATCAATTTCCATTATAAACTTTTCATGCATATTTCGTCTATATCCCGTTTCCCATTTTCTTGGATAAGCACCTTTGAACCAATAATCTCTCTGATTGAAGGTTTTAAAATTGATCAATGTCTTATCATGTAGATTTTCCTTACGAGCCTTTAATGCATTATCTGAATCCTGTTGCGCAGCTACCTCTGGGGGCTTTCTTGAACCTATAGAAACAGAGATCACAGTTCTGCAAACTTTCGGGGCTTATTCATACTGACGACAAGTCGATATTTTGCAAAAATGGCAATCACATCGAACTTCGATAGCACTCAAGCTTTTGAGTGGTGTAAATACATAAAAAGAATAATCATCCTCTTGTTTGCTTCCAATTCAGTATCTTTTTCCATAACATACGCTTTATGAAGAAGCTCTTTTCTTGAGAATTAGCATTGTTGTTAGCAATCATTATTCAATCTTCGTTCGTCGATCTCTCCAAAATGATGTTCAAGAATACATCTTTCCTCTCACTCCTTCTGAGTGCATCTCTAGCTTTTGCAGTTCCCACCGAGGTCGTGAAGCGTACCACATCAGCCAAAGCCGATGTATGCCCACAACATTCCCAAGAATCTTTATCATCCACACTAACATCTTTCAGTATGAAGGCATTACTGCAGTAGCTCCTCGCGCTGCAGACTCCGCGTTGATAGTTAGAAGTCTTGGAGAAGTTCTTAGTGATGTGCGTACCTACCATCCAGTACCCTTCTGTTCAATCTACTATTTTCCCTTCTCAATATCTCTAACACCCTTCCTCACCCACAGTACGAAGACATTCCCATCACCGGTCTCCCAGGTCTCACATCCAACGTCCCCCTAAGCTTCTACAACCAACTAACCTACGCCGGTTTCCGCGCCGTACGTAAAACCGGCACCGGTACGCTCCTCCAACAAATCGACGGCCTACAATGCGCCGTGGGTGGCAATGGTTCTACTATTACATCCGTCTATTTAGCTTCTCCAGTTGCTTCTTTCCAAGCAAATTATGCGAGTTTTGGTTGTTATTTGAGTACTTCTTCGGGTGCTAGTCCCGGTGTGGCTTGTACGGTGCAGGTTACGGCTTTTAAGACGGATGGAAGTTTGTATGCAGATAAAGCGGGGTGTGCGTATGGGGGATTAGGAATGAGTGAGTTTTTACTTCTTTTACTCTTTTATTCTTGTTATGCATATGCCGAAATATGATCAGACGAACACTAACCCGTGACTTAACCACATCTAGTAAATCAATGCACATTCCCCACTACCTGGACCAATGTTGCCAAACTCTCATTTGAAGTCGTCGCTTCAGAGATTTTGCAAACTGTAGGTCCAACTCTGGGTTCGTTGCTCGGTGGTATTATTGGGACGATTGGAAGTATTGGGTTTATTATTGATGATTTTGATGCTATTTTTCATTGTGTAGATGGGAAGAGTAATTCGGTTGTTGCGCCGGGTCTTTGTGGGTGAAGGATTTTGGACGATGGGAGGATTTTAGGAATGGGGTTTTGGAAGGTGGTGGGTGTAGGAGGAGGGGAAATAGGGTGGTGGAGGTAAAGTGGATAAGGTTGTTGTTTTTGGATTCTTGTATTGCTTCAGTTGTGTTGTGATGATTTTTAGTCGCTCGTTTTCCTACTTGGTAGGATTTCTGAATTGTTTATTGAACTTTGTTTGGTTTTATTCACTTCATCCACTTCAACGGATATCTGAAATTTCTCCTCCCAAAGTCAACAGAGCAGTAGGAAATATATGTGCTCTTTCATATATTCTATCACTCATATTACAGTCAACACATGTTCAAACATTCTAATACCGCAGAGAACATAAAATAAACCCTTACCTAACCAATAGTTAGCTGGTGGATAGGAATGTATGAATACTGCACTCCCTTCAGAAAATCCAAGTCCGGGCTTAACATTAAAAATATTGAATAACCCTTATAACCTTTCAACGAAAGGCTTCGGTTATTATACATCCTCATATACTTATTCTCTTTTGCGCTTTCCGAGTCTTGTTAAATCCAACTAAGATTACCTTACTTTCAAGCCACCCCTATTTCGGACCACCTTTTACTAAAGTTAGACATTCGATGACCAGATATTTCACTCCTATAAAGCCAGCGAAGTCTATCCATCATAGTATACCATAGCTCAGAGGATTTCTGTTGGTTCTGTATGCGATATTGTGAGAAAGTTGAAATTATAGACCAGATACATAGGAGTTTTTAATTAATCAATTATATAACCTTTTGTAATTAGATATAAAAGAAAAGCTTTTATCTTTTCTTTTTATAATAATTAATTTTCTATATATATATATATTTGAATCTAGATAATTTCAACCCCAAAACTATTGTGAATCTTGTATTCTTCATAAATGATATATTACGATATGATCTAATCAGCTTTCCTTTCCAATTCCCTTTCACAGTATGCTATCGGGATGCACGTATCTCGATCTACCACTTTTACAATATCACTAATCTTATATGCGAGATACAATTATAGTTTTAATGTAGAATCTATTAAACTCACTCTTCCTAACTTCAAAATCAGGGGAGTAATAATTATAAGATAGATGTCTCAAAAAAAGAGGATTGACACAATGGAGACTAGAAGCTTAAGTCTGAATACACTGAGCTGCGCTAATCGTCGTAATGTTAAGGTTAGCAGTGCTAGCAGGTTTTTATCTATTGATAACTTTAATTACTATTCCTACAGTCTATTGTGGATTATGTCGTTGATATGATATCTTTGATGATCTGTATACTTAAGCTTGGGATATTGTTGCGGCTCTGCCGCTGTGTTATATTAATAATTGTTATATTTTTTCCTATTGCTACTTAGATACTCTTTATATATATGTACAGTCAGCTTGGTTAACATTGTGGCTGGACAAAATTCATTGCTGGCTCCTGTTTTGGTTGTATGTGTGCCGGCGCCTTTGCTTTGATTATTCATGTAGGAATGATTTGGTTTGGGCGGAGCTTTTGTGTCTGGTGGAGGTAGTGATAGGTGAGGTGTGGTATACTTGGAATATGAAAATCGCTCAGTATGATCTGTAGTTTTGTATTCTTGAAAATAGTTTTAATATATCTGTAAGTTGTTAGGTTTTTAATGAGGATATTATCTGATTGATTATAAATATAATAAACAAATGAGTTTAGCGAGGAAATATCTTAGATATAATAAGAATATTGAATTTATATAATATATATTATATATACTCTTTAAAAGCTGAGTCACATCGCATACATACCCTATAAAAGACTGTAAAAGATCACACCTATATAGGAACAAACAAAGCTATCACCAATAATAACAACAATAACAATAGCAAGCACAGTTATCACTATATATACAAGAAGGAAAGGAGAGCCGGGGATACACCCTCTATATTATACTAACCAAACAGGATCTACTAACTAATCTGAAATCAAATAAAAGATTTACAAACAAAATATCGTCTTCAGGTTTGTATTTATTATTGTCGGCTTGCCGACACTATAACTTTGCCGTACGCGAGGTTACCCGGTGGGTGATGGAAAATGAGAAACTCGCTTAAATGAGCCGCGATCCTGACAATCTGATTGGTCTAAAATACCCCGGTAAATAATCTAACAAAAAGCTTGGCATAGGCCTTACAACCTTAGGCAAATCTGACTTGGAGTTTTTTTCAACTCAACTCAATTGAAATTATTCAACTTATTCAATTCAACTTTATTCATTCAATTCAACTCTATATCACGAAATCATTTTATAGAGTGTCACGAGGTAACAGTCAACCTGTCTCTATAAGCTTTGATCTTGTTGAAAAGCAAAACAACTTGTATATAAATTTGTATAGCAATCACTTTGTATAATCTCCTTACTTTCAATAAATTTGAATATATAATCTGATCTTAATTATATAATAAAATTTTCAAGAATATAAACTTTTATAAATTTTTTAAAGCTTTTAAAAATATAGATTTTTGAAGATTTCCAAAATGAATTAATATATAATCAAAATAGTTTTATAATTTAAAAGTTTTATATTTAATTTAATTATCAATTAGTTTATTTATATTCTAATTGATTTAGTAATATATTTATCTTCGAATAGATAATCAATAATTATTAGTTTTAATTTATAATTATCAATTATACAAAAACCTAAGATAATTATTATTTCGATTAGATTGTTATATTTTGAATATTGTTATAATTAAATTATATATAATATAATAATTTCCAATTAGTAATTTATTGAATCATTTCTATTCAATTTAATTAAGGTTTTTATTTAGATTATTATTATTATAAAATATAAACAAATGATTTAAATATCTATTCTTGATTTATTCTATAAAGATTATAACAAATATCAAGTTTTTATTGTATAAATTGATCTTTATTATATCTTTAATAAACAATTTTTTTTGATTTTTATATAAAGGATTTTATAATTGATTTTCTTTTTTTGAGAAATTATATTCAATTGGATTGAATTATTCTTTAATAATCTAATAATCAAGATTACCAATAATTAATTGAACAAAAGTATAAAATCTGAGATTCATTGTTTATTCCTTAATTATGAATTATTCAAATAAGAATTCGATAAAGTATTTAGGAAAATAAACCTTAATTATATAATTGAAAAAGTATTGTAACAATTTAAATAGATTGAATCAATTATAATCTATATTATCAAGTTTCAATAATATATTAAGTATATTATTTAAAATAATAATTATTTAAAATCGCAATTTTATAAAGAATTGAAAGATATCATTAAGAATGAGTTAATAAGAACTTTGAAATTATTTAATCTTTTCGAATTAATCAAAACCTTTATTCTTATTAATAATCGATTTTATAAATAATGAATAAAGAAGAAAGAAATCATTTAGGAAAACAGAAAGTTCTAAAAACTTTATTATTAGAATAGATATTATAATATTGATAATCTTATAGAATTGAATAATATCAAACGATATTATATAAAGTTAAACAATTTAAATATTAATAAAAAGAAAAAATATAAAAAAAATAATTTATATTTTATTTATAGAAAAAATAGATATATATTCTAAGATTATTTTCAAAAGAAAAAATTATTTATTATAAAAAATAGGAAATAAATAAGATTTGGAAATAGAAAACAAGATTTTTGAGAAATAGGGATTTTGAAAGAAAATTTAAGGGAAATAGGATTATTGAAAAGAGATCTATTTTAATTCAATTTTAAATAGTTAAAGGAATTAGATATTAATAATCAAAACTTTAGAATTAGTATTGAAAATAATATCGATTATAAAAAAGAATTTTTAGAAAATCTTGAATCAAAAGATAAGGAATTAATCGAGGAATTCGAAAAGAATCAATAATCAATTGAATCTTATTATTTGTTTTAGGAAAATGAATTATAATATTTAATTAATTATTTAAATAAGAAATGGATATAATGTTATTATAAGGAAAAGAAATTTGATTTTATTGAAAAATATAGAATCTATAATTATTCTATTTTGTTAGTATTTTATATAATAGTATATAATAATGTTTATTGTATAATATTTAAGGAAAATATTGAGACAAGCGATATCAGAAGGTATATTATAAATATAGATTTTTTATTTTTCAATGAAATATAAAAATATAATAGATATGATCTGAAAATTGAGGATATATGAAAGATTCTATTACAAATCAGGATTTGTTGTATTTAATAAAGAATCGATAAAGATAATAAAGAAATATCAAATTGAGATTATTATTAAGATTTCTAAACAAAATTAATAGGATTATTATTTATTATATTTTATTGATTATTGAGTATAAACAAATATTAATATAAATAATTGAATCTTTTTATCAGAGAACAAATCATCGAAATACTATTATTAAAACTAAATAGTATTATAAGAATCAAACAATTAATTATAAAAATCAAATTAAAGAATTAATAAATCAATATTTTAATTAATTTCGAAATTATAAGTATATTTATAAATCCCAATTTTATAAAAGAAAATAAAATTCTTATAAAATTAAAACAGAATCTTTATTAATTGATATTATTAGAAAAAAAGAAAATTGAAATTGATAATTGAATATGTAGAGAAACCAATATTATTAAGATGATTATATTAGATAGATATATTGAGTGGGTCAAGATGAATTTAATATTATTAAATAGATATATAATTATTCTTGGTATTTTATAGATTAAAAAATATAATTCAAATATCGATTAAATAAGAGATATTTTAATATTCGATTATTACAATTGTAATAATAAATGATTATATGATTTAAAAGAATAGATTTTCTAAAAGATAAGATATTATATTATAATAATAACGGATCCTTTATTAGTTGATAAAATTAATGAAAAAGAAATTCTAATATAATATAAAAGATTCGTTAAGCTTTTCGAGAACTTTTAAGATTTGAGGATCTTATTAGAATATAAGCTTTGGGATTATAAGATTAACTTCAAAAAGGGATTTGTATTTTTTATTGAAAAGTTGAGGTTATATAATTCTAGTATTATATGGGTGTGGGAAGAATATAGAATCAAGATCGAAAAGAAAGGATGGATTAAGAAATCCAAATCTTTTTGTGTATCTAATATATTATTGATATTTAAGAAAGATGATCTAGATGATCGGTTTTGTAAAGATTATTATTGAATTAATAATAAAACAATTAAAGATATATATCTAATATCAAAAATCTAGGAATTTAGGGATAAGTTGAATAAAATTATAATCTATATAAAATTAAATCAAAGAAATACTTTCAATTTGATATAAATAAAAAAGAGTTATAAATAAAAAACAGTTTTTATTCTATTATCGGATCTATAAGAATATATAATTATATTATTCGAGT